CGGTTTCTGATGAGAAAGAAATTAAAGACAAATTGGCAGAGTCAGGAAATGGGTGAGGAAACCCCAAACTTGCATTTTTATTCCCATAAAAGAGCTCATGATAGTCTTTCATTCTTAAAGGTAGACTTTTGTTTATTTATTCATTCAGCAAATAATCACAAATGCCTTCTCTGTGCCGGGCCCTGCAAAAGACCAACGCTCCCTGCAGTTCTCCCATTTGGCCAGCAGAGGGGGCGAGTGCCAGCTCTGGGCAAGGCTGAAAACCACGCTGGTCTGGGGACATTCCCTGATCCCCGTGTTCCCAGCTGGGCTGCCCCAAAATGCCCCAGACAAAGAAGTCCCAGGTGTCCTTCCAGGTCTTTGGAGTGACAATTATCCCCCCCCCCACCCCGGGAAGATCTAAGACCAGTCCCGAAGAACGGATCTGAGATGAGGAAGGTGCAAAGGAAGCCCTGGGTAGAAACACCCTATTCCACAAAGGGTCAGGGGAGCCAGAAACAGGCAAGGACCTCAGGTGCACAACAGTCCCCTTTGACCACAGCCAAGCCCTCAGTGACCAGGACTGAATTGTGGGACCCCGGCTCCTAGTCTCTACCATTCTGCTGTCCTCAATGGGAGAGAAGGAAGGGTTTCCTCACCTTTTTGCTATACCAGGTGAGGGCGGACAATGCCCCAGATATCAGGACTGATTTGAGAAGGAAGGGCAGGAGCATACAGGGCCATGGACAGTCGGCAAATTCCCTCGGGACCAGTCGATACCAGGAGAGAGCTGAGCTGATTGTTCAAGCTGACGCTGCAAGGTTGGTGCTCTGTCTCTGTGTAGAACAGAATGGCCGCGGTATGACCCGCCCACAGCTCACTGCTCCGCTAAAGGCTGAGAGAGACACGAAAGCCACATGGCTCAGTCCCACCCACTCCGCAGTGCACTTAGGCTAGAAGAGCAAGAGGCTGACCAATGAGGGGCAGCTGGGTGGTTCCGTCAGTTAAGCCTTCTGACTCTTCATTTCCACCTGGATCATGATCTCACGGTTGTGGATTGGAGCCCTGCGTCAGGCTCCACGCTCGGCACAGAGTCTGCTTCAGATTCTCTCTCCTTCTGCCTCTCCCCACACCATGCTCTCTCTCTCTCTCAAAATAAATAAATAAACAAATAAATAAATAATAAATTAAAAAATAAAAAATAAAAATTGGCTGACCCATTAAAAACAAACCCATCACCCCAAGTGACCCCTTCTGACTATAAAATAAGGAATTTGGGGGGAATTTCTAACATCCTCCTAGGGCATACATTCTGGATTTCTTGGTTTTCACAAACTGAAATTATAGTCAGCTTTTCCACTTCCTTAACATGAGCTATCCTTGATCATCTTATTTTTCAAGGCAACAACAAAATCCCATGAAAACTCAAAATCCAAACCCAAGGAGTTGCATACAAATTTTGAAAACTGCGTACAAATTTTGAAAATTCTAACCGGGACATAAACGAGAGATGGCATCAGACGATGGCAAATGACTCTGTGTTAAAACTGAATCACATCACTCACTGAGGCGTGGGGAACAAAGGAGCTGACCCAAGTTCCAAGCACGTAGGGTCTTCGCCAGCTACCGTAGGGTTAAAAAACTAAATGAACTGTACACACACACACCGAGCTCTAGCTGGTACACTTGTTTCCCCCAGGGCTCTGTAGTCAAACGACTTTATATTTTCAGCTAAGACTGAACTACATAAAAATATTTTAGACAATAAGAACCAGGTTTTCTCCCTGTAGGAGAAAAGTTGTAAATGAGGAAGACAGAAGTTTGGGATGAGCTCTGTGGAGCTAGACTCCAGTCAGAGAACCAGTCCCAGCTCGGGCCTGTTCTAAAGACAGAGAAAGGAACCGAAGTGTGTGTGTGCACACACGGGCTGGCAGTGTGTGTGTGTGTGTGTGTGTGTGTGTGTGTGTGTATGCATAGAAACCTAGGAGCAGTACACCCTTGCTCCCACACCTTCTGTCCTGAGCTTTATTCCTAAACCCAATTCTACAGTAAAAAGGAACCATGGTTCCTTGGTTAGTGGCCAGTTCTAGGGCAGAACTGAGGAAAATACAAGATGGCGGGATGAGCCTGGAGAATCTTGAGTACCACGAAGTGAGGATGAGTCAAATGGGGAAAAGAAAAGGAAGGGATGAAGAGAGGAAGGGAGGGAGGAAGGAAGGAAGGAAAGGAGGGAGGAAGGAAAGTAGGAAGGAAAGAGGGAGGGAGGGAGGAAGGAGAATAGGAAGGAAAGGAAGGAGGGGAGCGAGGAAAAGAAGTAGGGGGGAGGGAGGGAGGAAGGAAAGCAGGAAGAAAGGAAGGAGGGAGGGACAGAAGGAAAGAGGGGACAGAGGGAGAATAAAGGTCATGGAGCCCTATCAAAAGGACACGGACACCAACCTGAAAGAGCGCCCCCCCCTTCCCAGTCATAGCTGTTGCAGGCAAGACACACCAGTGGATGGAGTCACGGGTTCAACTGTGTTGCCTAAAAAGAAGTGTTGAAGTCCTGACTTCTGGTTCCCGTGAATGGGATCTTATTTGAAACTGGGGTGTGTGCAAATGTAATGACTTACAATGAAGCATACGGGACTCGGGCAGGCCCTAAATCCAATGACCGGTGCCCTCAGGGGAAGGGGAGACAAAGGCATGCACACAGGAAAGACGGATGTGGAAAGACAGAGGCAGAGGAGGGAGTGAAGCAGCCACAAAGCAGGGGCCGCCAAGGGTGGCCAGCAGCCACCAGCAGCTTGGAGCGAGGCAAGGAACACGTTCTCCCTTGGGGACTTCAGAAGCAATCAGCCCCGAAGAAACCTCCGGCGCAGCCTCCTGGCCCCCTAAACATGAAAGAATACATTCCTGTGGTTTGAGGCCACCCAGTGGCGGGTAATTTGTTACACAAGCCCTAAGAAATGAACACAGATGCTAAAATGAATAGGCGAAAGCTTAACCGGAAACAGGATACTTGCCTAATCTCAAAGGATCTCCTCTCAAAGGTTCACTGCAAAGGGAAAGACCAAAGTGAAAGCTGGTGGCCACGGCCTTGACCAACGATCAAGACTAACATCACCCGTGGTAGGTATGGACATGACGTTACCCTGCTAGGAGGCAACGGGAAGGGTACATCGCCTCTGCGGATCTGGTCCGTAACACAAATCCCCCACTGAGTCAGGAGAAGGAGCTGGCAGACTGAAGTTGAAGGGCCTTCTACAAAATTACAGTAAGGCTACACTGTCAATCACGGGATCATGCGCCCCAAGAGAAAGAGGAGGGATCATCACAGCTCAGAGGCCAGACAACTAACTGCAATGAGTGATCCTAGGACATGATCGGGAGAACTGGCTGGTTCCGAACACAGCGCTGGCTTCATTGGTAGTCGGGTACCGGGGGTTCATGTCTTCGTTTTGATCATCTGTGTGCGGTGACGCGAGACGTTAACACAAAGGGAGCTGGGGTGAAGGGCACACAAAAACTCTTTGTACCGACCCTGCAGCTCTTCTGCGCAATCAGAGTGATCTCTGAATTCTAAACATAATTATCAGGGGGTGGGGAGTGGTGTTACTGGTGGTGTGGGGGGAGGGGAAGCGGGAACTGACATCCGGTGGGGAGAGTCAGCCAAATCCTCCCTGGTCCATTCAGACCTAAGAAACCAGGCACGGGGGGGGGGGGGGGGGGGGCGCCTGGGTGGCTCAGTGGGTTAAGCCTCTGCCTTCGGCTCAGGTCACGATCTCAGGGTTCTGGGATCGAGCCCCGCATCGGGCTCTCTGCTCAGCGGGGAACCTGCTTCCCCTTCTCTCTCTGCCTGCCTCTCTGCCTGCTTGTGGTCTCTCTCTCTGTTAAATAAATAAAATCTTAAAAAAAAAAAAAAAACAAAAAACAGGCAGGGGAACATGAGGCCCAAGAGGAATCGTGACCCCACAATCCCATTTTCAGTGGACAGGACACCGACAGGGTGAATCGCTCAACAACAGCACCTTTAACGCGTTTAACATTTTTATTTTTAACTCTGCTTTGGTAGTACAAAAGTCGTAAAAGTACAAACCAGACAGTTAAAAATACATCTGACACTCAAAATGGTGAAAAATTTTCCTTTACAAATTTTTACATCAAGGCGGCAGCCAGCTCACTCACGACACCAGAAGTCGGCCCATCTTTAGTGTTTTGTAGAGTAAGTTTGTTGTGGACCCCCAGGCCTTCCACAGAAGGAAGAAAACCCAAGCCCTGTAAACATCAGTTGCTTTGGGAACACTTAAGAATCCTTATGAGTAAAAAGCTTATGTGTTAAAACACTGAATGCTTAACTTTTGGCATGTTTGAAGGCCAGCCAGACAAAACCTGCTCAAGTATTAGAAAATATTTAAAACGTACTCTCGGTATAAACACAATTTTAAATATTTTTGACTATTCTCTTGCCTGTTGTATTGCTATAAAAAAGTGCTCTGACCTGAATAAAATTAAAAAATAATTAAAGCTGAAGAATATCTTACATTTTTGTCCCTCACCATTCGAGGACATTATATTTTCAAGCCCAAAGTGATGCTTTTAAAAACAAAAAACTAAAACTATTGGTCTAGACAGCACGTATAGTATTTACACTAATACACACCCCCAAAATGCTTCTATTGCTCCTTTCTGGACTTCAGTGGAATTTCTCTCAATACCGTCCTCTGCGTGGATGTACGAACACACACACACACACACACACACAAACACACACACACACAGCTCTTACCACTTGTCAGAAAAACTTCACGTGAAACGGAAACTACCATCCATTTCAAAGGTTGGAAATTTGTAGTTTGATGCCAGAAACAGAATGGAATGAGTAAATTGACAGTAACTACTTGAAAGGATATTTTTATGGAAATCCTCTTTGGCAGTGAAATGAGAAAGATGTTCTCTCCAAGATAACATTAGTGCCCCCAGGCACCACACCAACACTGACAGGATGGGGGGGGTGTGGGGTAGGGGTGGGGTGGGAGGGGATTGGAGACCTTCCTGTTACTGGACCCTCCCAGCCCCTGGGCCCACAACGGTCAGAGCTGCACCACTATCTCTGCCTCTGGTTCTTGCGGGGGTTTCATACACAGCAGAGCTAAACAAGTAAATACATAAAAGTGGGGCTTTCCAGGCTTCCAAGGGAAACACAAACCTCCAGGATTTTTTCAATAAGAAGCCTCGGTTACAAGACATGAAGTAGGAAGTGCCCTCGGAAAACACAGCGGAGGAAGGTAGGGCCCATTTTACACTGGAAGTTGGGTGTGTTTGTTTTGTCAAAACAGGCATTTTGTTGTTTTATTTTGTTTTTAGTCACTTTAAACTACTGTCCCCCTTTATTCAATGGACTAAGTAAGAATCGCTTAGCGCAAGTTACGAAAAAAAATAAAATAAAATACTCTCAGGATCTTCTTGGTGACAGAAGAGTGGCACAGTGGCAGCGAGTTAATGTTGATGTCTTGGTCCAAGGCTTAAAAGTCTGGTGTCTGGTTCCATCGGACCCCCTGACTTCTCGGGGGGCCAATTTCTCGGGGCTAAACCACACTCTCTGCAAGGACTTTTTACCACTGAAGTTTCATCTTTATCTTCTGTAACAGTTAAACTGCAAGAGAATCTTCTTGCAACTAGTTGCATAATGAGACCTATGGGTTGGGAGAACAGAGGTGTCCGTGTGCGCGTGTACATACATGTGCACACACATTCACACACTAACACCCCCGAGCATCGGCTCGGATTGCACACCAAGAGTTCCCTGCGAAGAGTGATCACGCTGGAAAAATTACCAGTGGTGCCAAGGCCAGAGATGGGGGACTGGGAGGTCTGGTGGTTGGGGAAAACTGAAAAATGGGCTCTTTTCTTCACTGGAAAGGTACTAAATTTTCCATCAGACTTTTTAACCCAAAACGTGTTTCCAAACAAACAGAATTCTGTACCGAGCATAGCGCAAATATTCCCTTTTAACTTTTACCCCCATGTCTGCAGACTCCGCAATAGAAACTGTATAAACATTTTTTAAAATTCCGCAGGCAACTTCTTCTCTTGGAAGTCTCCGGCGTCTTAGAACTCTTCCAATAAAGTCACCCCTGCAAGAGAAAACACAAAGGTAAAGCTTTCCAGAAGGTAAGCATCATATCGCATATTAACCCGCAGGGATATTTAAAAACCCAGAGGAACTGTAATCCTTCCTCGCCCCATCTCACCGCACCCCGCTGTGTTCCTTCCCCATCACACATTTCTTCTAGAATTCAGTCTAAAGAAATGCAAGTACCACAATTTCAAAAGGACCTTATTACCAAGGCTTTATAAACCAAGAAAGAAGAGAATTTGAGAGCCACGGTGGACTAAGGGTATCAGTCCGTTTCTGCAGGAGTTTCTAAAGGGACCAACTCTGACTTGTTGAGCCTGCTCCCATGAGTCACGTGTCCCTCCGTCCCGGGAACGTGTTCTTTAACTCCCCGGCCACCTTCTGCCAAGTAAGGAGCAGGAGGATGACTGTGCTCAGGCACAGTGAAAGTTCTGTGTGTCAGATAACGTGTCTTTCCCAAGCCACACAGGCCAGCTAACTCCGGGTCTCCGCGGTGTGCACGAGCTCGGCTGGGATCTCGGGGGCAACGAGGAGCACAGTGACGAGATGCCCGATCTCAGGTGTCCACTGTAACTCAAGGACGGTGCCGTGTGTTTCAGTTCTAACAGCCGGCCCCTGTCACCGTCTATATTCTCATCACAAATGAAGCCCCTGGTAAACTTGGAAAATAGATTTTTATTTTCCAAAGCTATTTTTGATTGGTGGTGGTGGTGTTTTTTTGTTTTTGTTTTTTTTTTAAACAAATGAGTCATCTAAGGGACAGACCGCTGTGTACCCATTTACAGTCCCGTTTGGAAGCCGGGGATCACTCAGGACAGGACTCACACCACGCAGGCCGCCCTGCACCAGGTTAAGGAATGAAGCACTTTCCCATCTGCCAACAAATGCTCAACAAAACCGCTTGAAGGCACGTGCACCCGAATGTTTATAGCAGCAATGTCTACAATAGCCAAACTATGGAAAGAACCTAGATGTCCATCAACAGATGAATGGATAAAGAAGAAGTGGTATATATACACAATGGAATACTATGCAGCCATCAAAAGAAATGAAATTTTGCCATTTGCGACGACGTGGATGGAGCTAGAGGGTATCATGCTTAGCGAAATAAGTCAATCGGAGAAAGACAATTATCATATGATCTCCCTGATATGAGGAAGTGGAGATGCAACATGGGGGGTTAAGGGGGAAGGAGAAGAGTAAATGAAACAAGATGGGATTGGGAGGGAGACAAACCATAAGTGACTCTTCATCTCACAAAACAAACTGAGGGTTGCTGGGGGGAGGGGGGTTGGGAGAAGGGGATGGGGTTATGGACACTGGGGAGGGTATGTGCTATGGTGAGTGCTGTGAAGTGTGTAAACCTGGCGATTCACAGACCTGTACCCCTGGGGATAAAAATATATGTTTATAAAAAATAAAATTTAAAAAAAAAAAAACAAAAAAAACACCGCTTGAAGCCAGTTTGCCGGAATAGGAAAAGCAACAAGTCAGCGAGATATCTTGATTGACGTATTACTTTGTAGTTATTTTACAGCTCCTTCTTCAAGATCTAGAGTGTAACAGTATCCGTACTATCCTTTTCTGTCATTACATCGTTCAGCATGTTCAAGATAGGAGAGAAAGAGAAGAAGAGAAAGAAAAAGAGAGAGAGAGAGAGAGAGAGAGATTACCCAAACTGAAAGGTTTGGGTAAAGGATCCTTATCCGCTTCGCTGAAAAGGGAGTAAAACACTGTTCCCTAAAATAGCAGGCGTGGAGTTTTTAATTATGAGTGGAGACAATGATTCTCCGCCCTGCCCTGCTACAGCCTAGCACGGCCGCAGCTCAGACTTGTACTATAGCGCGGACCATGAGCAAGTCTCGGAACAGTTTCATTTGAGAGTGGATGAGTATGAAAGATGCCAGCGGGGGCAAAAGGGAGAAAAGCCAGAGGCGGAGAAACAGAAAAACAGTCCTGAAAGACAAAACAGGGAAAAGAAGAGGAGTGAATTTTCAAAGCCAAACTTCAAACTAGGCCATTATCTGCAAAATAGGTGTTCAACTATTTTTGTATCTCCTCCTTTTATCATCTGCTCCCTTAGACCTAGATTTTTTGGCATCAAGGAAAACAGGAAGGTCAAGGGCGAGGAATGTCAGGCCTAGAATGTCATGTTCCATCCCAGTCAGAGTTTTTGATCCAACGGAGAAGACCTTCCCCTTTAGGGTTCTTTGCACAGATATAACCGACTTTAAAGAACAGGCAAGACAGAGGGCTGGGCTAAGGAAGGATCTGGAGCCAGAGGCCTGGATTCTAATGCAGACCCTGTGACTAGCTGTTGAACCCGGGCCCGCCCCAGAGCATTTCGTCAAAGGGGTGCTGGTTTTACAAAAGGGGATCTACAGACAGTGCCTGACATGGGGCCAGCAGTCAGGACGCTCCCAAAGTCGTTACCATCATCCAACGGCCCTAAACCATCACGACGGCTTCAGCAGCTGCCTCCTGCGGCTGATTTAAAACTGCACTGTGCGCAGTGCGAGGAAGTGAAAAATACAAATATGGCTTCACGTCCTCACCCTTAACACCGGACACTAAACAGAAAACAGAAAGTTAACCTTTCTAAAAATCCTCTTAAAGCCACCCAGCACCAGGGTGCAGTTCTGGGCTCTCCCTTTTCAAAAACACCTGCTTATCAGAAGTCAGCACTCTACCAGCAGAGCAGCTATCCATTTCCAGGTAAATACCTCTTTTATCAGGGGGCACCTGGGTGGCTCAGTGGGTTAAGCCTCTGCCTTCGGTTCAGGTCATGATCTCAGGGTCCTGGGATCGAGCCCCACATCGGGCTCTCCGCTCAGTGGGGAGCCTGCTTCCTCCTCTCTCTCTGCCTGCATCTCTGACTACTTGTGATCTCTGTCTCTGTTAAGTAAATAAATAAAATATTAAAAAAAAAAAACAAAAAAAAAACCTCTTTTATCAGAATGACAACCTAGGGGGAAGACACCACAGACTCCGCAGCTTGTGAATTTCCAGCCGTGACCTTACGGCTGGGGCTGGGTTCACAGGTGGAATTCCACACTGTTCAGTTTCTCCTCGGTGCATCCAACAGCTGTGACTAGAGCCCTAATGATAAACACATACTTGTAAATGCTGTTTCTTTAACCCACCACATTAATATTAAAAGATGCCTTCTTTAAGGTCTTAGAGCAATCAGAAACCATGTGTGGGCTGGTATGAATGCCAGAGAGGGCCGGCAGCCGTGGGCGGACGGGGAGAACACCCTCCACCCACCCCTCATTCTCAGTTCCCCTCACCACGGATCCACCATATTGAACAAGTCGGACCCCCTCCCCGGAATACTCCCACCCCCCCGGCGGGAGGGAAATTTGGTGACTACGGTCTTACACGTAAAACAAGACTGAGGGAGAGCAATTAAGAACCTCAGAAAAGGCTTATCTGGGAAAAAAGGAAGAGGTCACTCTAATTAGAAAGATAAAGCCGTAATGCCATGATTAAATTAGGGTTCCATCAATCAGAGAAAGACAACTATCATATGACCTCCCTAATATGGGGAAGTGGAGATGCAACATGGGGGGTTTGGGGGGTAGGAAAAGAATAAATGAAACAAGATGGGATCGGGAGGGAGACAAACCATAAGAGACTCTTAATCTCACAAAACAAACTGAGGGTTGGCGGGGGAGGGAAGTGGGAAGAGGGTGGTTGGGTTATGGACATTGGGGAGGGTATGTGCTATGATGAGTGCTGTGAAGTGTGTAAACCTGGCGATTCACAGACCTGCACCCCTGGGGCTAATAATACATTATATGTTAATAAAAATTTTTAAAAATAAATAAATAGGGACACCTGGGTGGCTCAGTGGGTTAAGCCTCTGCCTTCGGCTCAGGTCATGATTCCAAGGTCCTGGGATCGAGCCCCACATCAGGCTCTCTGCTCAGCAGGGAGCCTCCTTCCTCCTCTCTCTGCCTGCCTCTCTGCCTACTTGTGATCTCTCTGTTAAATAAAGAAATAAAAAATCTTTTAAAATAAATAAATAAATAAATAAATGAGGCTTCCACAGAAGCCACAATAGAGTATCGGTGATGAGGACATGTACGTTACTTGTTAAAAAGGATTCTCTAGAAAAAAACTCCCTGGTCCCTTTAAAAAGTAGAAACATGTTTTAAAAAAAAAAAACGAGAAGCCTTAGCAGATTAGCAGACACTGAACGCTAAGACCTCCAAGGACAGGGTGTCAAGGAAGGAAAACACTCTCTGATTAACAACAACAGTAGCTGACATTTACAGAGTGTTCCCACATGCCAGGCACCGCCACGCTTCGCACTCCAGACTCGGGAACGCAATCTTTCCAATGACTCCGGGAGTCAAGGACGAGTCTGATTTTCGTAGGAAGAAACTGAGGCTTCCAGGTTCAGTCACTTGCCCGAGGCCATACACTTAGTCACCACGAAGCAGCAAGTCCACAGCCCGCAGTCCAACCCTCTCATCCCCAAATTGCACGAGCGCACCCGTCACCACGGAGACATCCCCAGCATCACCGAGAGTCCTCCACTTGTACGGTGGCCAACAGCAGAAGAGAAATGCAGAAATAGAAACCCTGGCAGGGCCAATCCCTAGGGAAGTGGTCCTTGTGGCTACACAGGAGTAGAGAAATGATGCTGAAAACCCATCTCCTCCAAGGGGCTCGGGTCCTAAGATGCAAAGTGCACCTAGAATGACATGGTACAACACGGAATAGATCCAAGGCTACAGAGTCACACAGCTAGAGTAAGAATGTTCTAGAACACATTTAAAGGAACTAGAGTGGGAAAGTTGTTCATAGGAACAAGAGTTAAGATCAGGACAGTAATAGTACTATTCAAAGGCCTAGGCAACAAGTATGTGATCTTTCACGAGTAATCTGTGATCCTTTGAGACTCGAACTTCTTAATTAGAGGGTTATCTTCTACCAGGCTCTAACTAAATGCTCTGTGGTCACGTGCGCACAGGTTCTAGCTGCTGAAAA